AGCTCCAGCCTGGCCCACACCTAGGGAAGCTCTAGGAAGCACCTGCCAGGAGCTCAGCCCCAGCCTGGTTTTTACAAATCTCTCTGAAATGTATTATTTTGGTGACAAAAATGAAGGAGCTTTGAAATTTTTTTTTAATTATGAATCATATCAAGTAGTTTACATTTCTTGACAAAATAGGAACAATGGCAGCAGAATCAAAGTGGCAAAAATCTTTAGATTAAATAGGCAATAATTAGGTCTGCTGTTTGGCCTGCAGTAGTAAGGAAAGTGGTTGTAGTGTTTAGATATGTGTTTGGTCTTGCTTCTTGTATTGCATTTTTCAATAAACTAAAAAAAAAAAAAAACCTGACTGTGGGAGGATCGATCCACTTTGAAAGTTGTCACCTATCTGCAAATTGGGGGAAATTAAACATGGATAGGGGGACCAAACTCAAGCCATTTTCCAAAGTCAACTACCCAAGGTGGCTAAAATGCAGCCTCAAAGTTGTATAAAAGGGTTTCTGAGAATTAGCAAACAGTTTGCCCACAGGAGGGAGTCTGCAGCCAGGCCAGGACACAGGAGAGGGGTGGCTCTCAGGCCCGTCAGGGAGGGCCAGACCCTCAGGCTGGAGGAGTTGGCAGTAGTATAGCCCCAGTGGCTGGCTGGCTGGAGGGGGAGGGGTCAGCGTGGCGGGAATTAAAGGCTCAGTCCCCAGCCCAGATGGCAGTGGAGGGTCTCAACTCTACCCAGCCCAGATGGCAGTGCAGGCTCTTCACTCCACCAGGGGCCCAAACCCATCCCAGTGCCACCCTGGAGAGCCTGCGCAGCCCAACCTTCCTTCCAAGCAGGGAGTCCTTGCCCACCCCTCTGGGTTTGCCAACATACCAGGTGCATCTCCCCATCACCTGGCCTGGACCTCCTGCCCCCTCAGTACCTGTCCAGAGCTAAGGCCACTTTTGGAGGCTGAAAGAATACCTGAGCCCAGCCACGCTGCTCTCCAGACTCCACGCTAAGACATATTCTCTCCAGCTTATGGAACCCTGTGCAGTTGGCATCTCTGTGCCTACATGCAAGTCATAAAGCCCTGACGGCTGCTGGGACCAGGGCATCCATGCCCAGTCTGGTGTGATGAAGCATCTACTAGGCATAGGGGCTCGGTCTGTCGTCATGGTCCATGCTTCAGCCTTACAGGGGCTGCCCCCTGCATTTCACACCTGGGCACCCAAGTCCCCTCCGCCTCCTCCCAACTTCGAGTAGCCTCCCACACTAAGGCGGTCCAGCCTTGGCCAGCTGCGATGAGCACAGTCACGTGCTGCTGGGGCCCCCAGCAGGAGCTCCCCAAAGCCCAGGTCCAGAGACTTGGAATGTTCGATGCAGGAAGCAGAGGGCTGCACGGTGATAATCACGTGGCCGGCCTGGCTGCGTGGACCCCACGGTGGAGGCAGCCCTGGACCCTTCAGCGGGTAACTGTTGAGCAGGGCAGGTAACCCCAAGCGAGGATTAGCCGGCTCTGAACGCAGACTCCGCACTGACGGCACGGGTGAGGTCCCCCGATGCGGGGGCAGGTCCCAACTTTCTGGCTCCCCGCAGCCTATGGCTCGGGGAGTTCTGGGGCCGGGGCTGGGGAGGAGAGCGCAGTCCCAGCCCGGCCCCTCGGGGGGGCGGAGCGCCTGAGCCCGCAGCACCCCCTGGCGAAGCCGTCGGGTCTCCAAGTCGCGGTTCTCATAAAGCAGCGTGTTGGCGCAGATGAACACGAACAGACCGACGCCCATGACCACCGGGCCCAGGAGCCGCAGCCGCTCGTGTGGTCCGTGAGTCCGGCCGGCGCCGCGCCCCTCGCGTCGCAGCTCGCTCACTGGGGGCGCGCTGACGTTGGCAGCCCTGGGCCCTGCGGCCCCCGCGCGG